CCTCTCTCTACCTTAGTGTATACATGGGTACTGGCGAATTTCATGCTGGTAACCCTAAGATGGATTAGCATGGCATCCATATTCCTGGTCGCTTTATGCTATGGAAACAGGGATAAGCTCTCGCGGTATAGACCACTTGGCACGACGCAGATTTTACCTTATTTATATTGCGCGCGCTTTGGTGTGCGTGCATTTGCTTGCAATGCAAGCAAAAAACGAATCACTTTCGAAACAGGGGGCTTGTTAAGTCGAACGGTACGAGAACTATACTGTTTTTACCTCGTATTCTGCCATGGTGGCCTCGATTTCAGCCTGATTCATCAGTGGCGAATCTAGTTCCTTTGGTTTATCTGATTTATTTTCGCCAGTCGCTTTGTCTTTCCCTTCTTTCTCGTCCAGCTCTTTCTTTGCTTTGGCGTCTTGCTTCTTCAGTTTCCATTCCTTCACTTTTTGCTTGACAAATGGAACCAAAGCTTCTTTGACGTTCCCAACAACTTGCTTGGTGATGAGCAGTGCGGCAAGTTGCTAGAAATTTAGAAATGTACAATTGAAGGTTAACGTCGATTCAAAGTTTCGATACCAAAAAACACCAGTCCCAGAACAGTCTCGAGTATTTTCTGAAAACTCATCGGCGCGGCATTTGTGATGATATATTTCACTTCAGACTGGTCACGGTAATATTGCTATCCAATCAATTTTTAATAAAGGCCTCGCAAAATTTTGTATGATTTATTATAAGAAAACCTCGATTTGTTTTTCGGAACATCACAATGAGGATTCTAAATGATATTGTTGCGAAAATGTCGTCTTCTATAAGGCTAAGCACAAAAAATCCTTTTCTTCGGGTGACTGAAGATGTCGACTATTAGTTCAGCACCGAACAGTCGATAAAGCAAAGGAAACAGAGATGTAGATTGTTGCAAGTTATAACTCACCGTTTTGAGCCTGTCCATGTCCCGGATGAAGAAGGCGATGTAGAAGAGCGCCATGAAGGCGTTAAAGAACTGGAACTGAAAATTAATTGTTGATAGATTGGAATGAGAAATAAACCTTCACCTTGGACTTCTTAGTGCAAGCATTAAGATCTATTAATACCACATGAAACGACGGATACGCACCAAATTTGAACTTGTTTGTTTAAGGTATCACTGTTATGAGTCATAAAAGAGCAACTTACCGAGACAAGTTTGATGATCAAATGGTTCTCATATGTCTCCTGTAGACGATAGTTTTCTGTCATTGAACAAGATAGAAATGAGGAAGTTAGCTTCTAAAGGATGCTATACACTCGATTACCAGTCCCTGAAGGAAACAGTTTTGTTTTCACGAGAATTTTAAGACTCGAATATGATGGACTGACTGACTGACTGTCTGATTGTTTGATTGCTTGCTTGATTGATTTTTTGATTGTATGATTGGCTATGGTCGTAAATAAACCGAACTCATTTTGACTCGGAAAGACATTTTGTTGAGTGTATTTTGTAATTCAAGGAGCAAAATTAATTTTAAACTGACGGAAACCACAACGTAATAGTTTTCTAACATGGCACGACACCATGAAGCTACGACTGAAAAAGATTGAGACAGATTACGAACGACATGAAAAAAACCAGCCAAAATTTTTTTCAAGTTGCACCATCCGTGACATAGCTCCTTTAACTCACCTTTGTCGTTCAGATGGTAGGCCACTTTCTTGTAATTGTCATCCAACATTCCAATGCACACAGCCAAGGCGACTTTAGGAGCAAATTTGAGAGGTTTTGGAGGATTCTCCATGCCATCTACCCAGCGTTGAAACTCAAAACACAGCAACATGCTGATTACGACGACACCCAGTGACGTCAGGATGATTGGCAGTGACACACAGTAACGGAAGATGTTTCTTTTCCAGGATGGGTAGTGTGCTTCTATTCTCCCAGTTATTTCACTTTTATGATAATCACCCTGTGTGGAATGATGACATGATGTTATGAAAATTATTACCCAGGACTGTGTATGGGACGATAACTTTATTCTTCAAGATTCGTAACTAGGGCCGGTTTAAATCCGACCAGGGAAAATAAACCTAATAACTCGGAGAGGAAGACTGTAATGTGCAGAGAGAGTTTGTTACTGATGGAGGTTACAACTAGGAGGAAGAGAAGGGAACTACATAATTTGGAAAAGAGGATAACGGAGAAACGGAAAACTTGTTTCTGTCGCAAAGGGGTATAACAGCTCTGGGAGAATTTTGACTCGAGAAAAGTAATCACGCTTTGAAGAAATTGAAAGGAAATAAGGACTCCTGATTGTGCACGATACACTACAAACAACAAACCCTAAATAATGGTCTTGGCTCCTTCAGTGCATCAGATGGCATGTCCATTGTACCCCACTTGTACGCAAGCTCGGCGCTCTTTCGTTTCCAGGCCTCCAGGAAGAGCGTAGCCCAAACGATGTTGAAGATGTTGAAAAAGAAGATGCACCAATCACGCGTTACCTCGCCTCTGTTGGACAGAATGAAGGTTATGATCCCGAGGACCGCGGGCGCTATTAGCCATTTAGTGTACATACCAAGCCAGGCGAAATACATGGCGATCTTCACACCGAAATATTGACAAATGTCGTCTGTAAAATTGAAAAAAGAAATATCACCGAGATCGAAAGTTGGATGTTGATACCTGAAGGCTCGTGCGAAAAGGTGTCAGTTGAATAGTCTAGCGCGAAATGAGTTCGCATCATTTCCATTGACTGGAAACGCAAATGTTATATGTTTGATTCAGTCTTGCTTTTTCTGTTACCTGGCCCTTTAAATGCATTCTAAGCTAAACCTGCTGCTGTCCTTGTGCTGGTGTGAACAAATAATCAGTGGTAAAAAACGCCTCAATTATAGCTCCTTTTTTACTCTTAGTTTTGTTAAACTCAATCATCCAGACGGTAAAATAATTCGACCAACAATGAAAGTAGAAACGAGTTCCAAGCAAAAACAATGTTGATTATGAGGTGACTTTGTCAACGTACATGTTGCTAAGCGACATTTCAACCCTTGGATAACTCACCTAAAGGCTGTTTCTTGAAGAATGCTGAGACCCAGGTCTTCCTCAGTTTAGCTAAGTCGTCTGAATTGTGCAGAGGAAACATCTTTTCCACCACGCCTTCCGACAACAGCTTGGGGACTGGGAATCAAAGGAAATAATTTATTGTTTATGGTTAATTATTGTTTATCCTTTGATTCTTCTTGAGGAGAGAAAAACGATTCTGGCAACTTTATTTAAGTTTATAAAAAATCTCTTATTTATTAAACTTATTAAACTATTCCTTACCAATCTGCTGTCCTTCCACAAACTTAATCTTCCCCAGTTCGTCACCTTGCACGGCTCTCAAGTCGTTCACCATCTCTAGAATCATACTCTGTCTCTCACCAGAGTTGAAGAACACAGTAGGATCATCAGAATTCTCGAAGGTATCTCGTTCATCGTACTTAAACTCCGTTATTCCACCCTTGCGAAGCTTCTTCTTCAAACCCAGATGCTCGGCTTGTTGGAGAAACACTTCAAATGAAGACGTGAGATAAAAACCGTAGACTGGTGAATGAGCCATTTGACGGACATGGACGTCGACATCCGGGACTCTGGCTCGAAGTCTCGACAGCAGCCACATTACCGTGTAGTCCTCAGTGTTTTTGGGAAACGTGATAAGAACGTCACATGTTTTGGACGGAGTGGAGTGTTCCCAGAGTTTGGAAGACAAGACGAATTTTCCAGCTTTTTGAAAATTTCCTGTGGGAAGAGGAGACGACAAAATTATTACCCAAACACAAAACTTCCCAGGACGATGAAAATTCTTCAATCGCAGCATTTTCCGGAGGACTAGTCACACGGACTATAATGAAAAGCATAATAAGATTACGGAATGTCTCCAACTGTATAAATTCTTCTACATTCCCACTAACACTCTAAAGCTTGTGCGCTACGCGCGCGCTTCGTGTGGAACGCGTTATCAGACCCGTGTAAGTTCATTTTAGGTTACATGTAATATAATAAACTATACAATGAACTTGAACGAAACGTTTCGTTTTTGTTATAAATAGAAATATGATTTTTGAAAAAATACGATACCTTCCTCGCCTTTATCTCCGCTGAACACATCTTTAGCGGTCGTTTTCGCTGCAAAAAAAAAAAACAAAAAAAAAACGAATAAAAGAAATGGTCCTTTAAATGCTCAGAATGATCCACATCCACTTTCTCTTAACAATATCAAGATATTGTCAATTGGGCAGGTGATGAGAATAAACGAAATCATCGGCTCTGAGGTAATTTTGTCTCAATGGAATAATAATAATTATTATAACCTTTATTTATATTCTTAGAACTAACATTGAAGGCAATGTATTGGAATCTGTAAAGAGAACATATGGTTCTATAGGCCTAGGTTGGGGAAAACGAAGTTACTACGATTGTAACAGTTAAAGGAGTTCAGTCACAGTATTTTCAGCTATTTTGGCTGTGTACAAAAATTACCTTTAAATTGAAGGAGACATGAAAGAAGTAGTTTACTTAGATAGCAAAACGCAAGAGAGACAATGATAAATCATAAAGGAACCAGGATGGTTAAGACTTAAAGATGGAGAAGATTAACACGGATTGCAAACGACGACTCGGAAATTGAAAAACTTTTCGAGACGCGCAAACTGTGACATAGCTCCTTTAAAGTCTGTAATAATTTTCTTATGCAAAAATGCTCGGATATTTTCCTGACCACGCCCAAGTTAAGTCCTTCGGTATTTAGATATAAAGCGTTCTTTAACTTTTGGATTTTGCATTTTGTCATTTTGATTTGAGAATTTTCTAGTCCTTAGATTCTAACTGACAGAAATAAATTTGGTTATATATTCAAGATATCAACTTTAATTTAACTGCAATGTTAGTATGCAATAGTTGTATTTAAGTTCTGCATAATTTAGGTTTCGTCCAGAAGCCGACGCTAAGTAAGTATATACAAGTGTTCAGTAAGAGGCTGATATTTGTTAACTTGCGAATTCGTATGGAAATTTTAAAATCTTATATATTCTTTATTTCAGCGAAATGAAAGAAAAAAATTTTGAGCTAAGAAAAAATCGCCTGAATAACAAAATATAGAAACAGGAAAATTGATTCCTCGTCTGGTTTTCGAAGAGATATACTTACGAGGATTTGGGAGAATATCTCAATGAGTGTAAAAATGGCAAAATGAAAATGTTCTTTATCTAATGGGTAAAAAGGACCTTGAGAAATGGCCCTCACTTCTGTCACCACCGCCATCTTTGTAACGGCTTCCAAACCTATACAAAAGCATTTCTTTATGACACCTGTTTGCAATTTTCGCCGTCAACGTAAGCGCGCTGTCAAAGTAGAAGACATTATCTGTACCTTCTTTGCCGCTTGTCCTTCGATCCGGTATAGGCATTGCAGTGAGCTTAAATGAGTCCGAAACGCCAGTGCGTTTCTACCAATTCCCGCAATATTTGCCTCGAAAACTAAACTGGACAACAAACTTTACACTCACCTGTTTTATTTACATCTCTGAAGAGACGCGTCTCGATACGCGCACTGATTGGTTAAACACCTGTCTAACTTTGGCTTAAATGATACTTACAGCAGGTTTTCTTAACCATATTGACAGGTGGCAGTTTACAGGGATATTTTTATGTGGCATGCTATCAGCTAGTAGGCTACAGTACAATCTGCACAATTTTCGATGTGTTTTAAAAGTCGTTATTTAAATAGAAGATCTTGGTGTACGTTATTCCGCAATTGGTCTCTACGATTTGTGAATCGACTAACATATTTTGCGATTCCCTTTTCAAGTTGAATATCTACAAGTCATTTTAATATGTATAATGTTTGTTTTTAGCGCGAAGTATGTTGCCAATCCATGTAGACAATCCATGGTGAATTACTCAGAAAAGAGTGAAAACAAATTTATGTTCATTGTCCTAACTTGATAACAATTATGCTTTGCAACGGCTGATCGGGGATGAAGTGTCATCTATATTGCAATTTTGTGTTTGTTTTCTCCTCTGCAAATAAGTACGAACATTTTCGCAATATTGTCACTTGATATTGGTTTTGGAAGAAATTTCAATTAATTTCTCTACTGACAACTCTAAATTCTTCTAAAAGGGTAGTAAAAAGGGAATGCCAAAGACGAAAACCGAAAAACGTTAGGTGGAGCAAGCTGATGTTGTTTTTGTTGCACACAGGACGACCTTTGATATTTTAAGACTCTCAGTTACTGTAGCAAAGTGTTAACAAGGTTATAGCGGCTAAAATCTGTCGAGCCCGCTGTCCTTGTCAGAGGTGACTGCCAAAATGGCAGGACGTTCTAGTAGAATTTGGAGGCGTGAATCTCTCTAAAATCTCTGCTCTTAAGAACAAGTTGACGTGTCATAGGTTAGGTTTCTCCAGTTGGCGATATCTTACGATTTAATAGACAATGAGAGGTTGACTTCTCCGCAAACCTCTACCACGCAGACCTTTTAAATGTGCCGACAAGTAGCTAGTACACATTCCCTAGCTCCAGCTTTAATTTTCAATTGACTTCATTCAAGACGAAGATAGTTTTCTATAGTAACGTTCTGGTAGTTAACAGAGGAGAGAAGGTCTGGACCTGAACGAAACAAAAAATCAGTGGTATAATGGTCTTGTTTCAATCCGATTTATTCTGATAGGAGCAATTTTGAGCAACTTCAGAAAGTCTTTTTCGCGGTACATTGACGCTGTAGCCATAACGAACACTCTTGAATTTCTTTTGAATTAATAAAGAGAGTGGTTGTTATGGACGTTAATTTTGCATGGAAGTTTTCCTAACAATAACAACACTGGTTGTCAATGAACTAAATATAGAAATAAAACAGATTCGGTGTGCTGCCAAAATAACCCATTATTTGAGGCAAAAGAAAATGGCTTTAACTGTTAAATATTTAATGTACTAAAACTAAGAAAGCTTTGGCATTCAAATTCTTAATTCTTATCTAGAGAAGTCATTAGAATACAAACTAAGTATGTACCTGTTAAAGTGACCACCATTTATGTCAAGAGGTTTAAATATATTAATACTCTATCCTCAGGCTAAATTCTGCGTTAATCACGAGATTACAAGGTATTTGTACGAAGACAGAGGCGGGTTTTTTCAGTAAACTGTCATTATCTACATGTATACCCTGAGAAAAAGTGTCTTTTGCGACAAAATATTATATATATATATATATATATATATGCGGATATGCATAATTTACATAACTATGGACATATTTCAACCTAGCATAAAAAAAGTAAATGCTGTTGATAAAACTTCCTTATGCAAATTCCATGGTCATAGACCGATGGCTCACGTTTGATTCTGTAAACACTAAACCGCTTTCATATGTGTTATAAAACGTATTGTTTTCAAGCCGCTTTTTTTGCTTTTAACTTTTAAGATTAAAATCTACCGGGTAATAAAGATTGTAAGGCGTAGCTTCGAAGGAGATTAACGGCCTGCAAATTATATATTATGTTCTAAGCATGAGTCATTGCAAATCACCTACCCCATTTCCACGCAGTCTTTGGTTTCCTCTTAGTAAATTCCCATACGTTTTTTATGCCGTTCATTTACGAAAATCCGTCCACTGAGGTTATTAAAAGCTTTCCTCTTGGTAGCTCTAACATAGTCGTTTAGAAAACACTTCAAACTCCCTGGTGCTTCGTTCATTGCAGTCGACACAAGTCGACTGAATCGATCTGATTGTCAAATTCATCAGGAACGAGTCTCTAAGACAACATAGACGATGGTAAAAAATGTTTTAAGAATTGTCATTTTTTACAGTCTTAAATTGACGGTTCTGTTGGTCAACAACACCAAAATGATTCATAATATCATGACTTGTTTTGAGTTCAAGAAAGCCATCACCAACAGTTTGCAAATGTTATTCGTCGCTAATCGTATTCAAGTTGATGCTATATTTAACTCAAGCTGTCTAATTGTTATGAGCATTTTAACCTTGTTGTTGACATAAACCAATTGGATGTACATTTTTAATTACATAATTGATCCATTCGAATATTTCATATGTCTACCACCTACTGAAATTTGTAACAAATATTATTGCAATATTCCTTCTACATTTGCCACACTGAAGAAGCGTGTGCAAAGTTCTCGGGGAGAGAGTACACATTCTAGGGCTTACGCTATTGGGGTACACTCTTGTTTTTTATAAGAACGTCTGATTTTGGAGATGAGGCTGAACGTTCTTATATTTTTTTGTATCACCTGATGACTTTGGTCTTTTGGTGGTGTGGAAATTATTTTGGAACAGTTATAAATGAGAACTGCTGATTATTACAAACCGAGATGTGTGTCATGCAATAAGAAAACCATTGTTAATGTTATTTGGGTTAATTTACATTTTTGTTACCTTTATTTTATGCTTGTCGTTTAATACATACAGATCAAAATAAAAACGGTCTTAATCGACTCTCAGCCTGGGGAATGTTCTTAATACGTTCTTAAAATTTTGGTCAATCTCAGCCTCACCTTTCTTATAAAAAAGGTCTTATAAAACTGAAAAAGAGTGTATCTGTGTGTCCCTCAGGCGATGGATGGGGAAGACCCTTCTCGTGTGTAGTACCAAACAGGTGGATACACAAAGTTTGTTTGCGTTGCCTTCACGGCGTGAAGGATGTTCAGTTCTCTGAAGATGCGCCTTGCAGTAGGCTAGCCTCCCACAGAGATCCTGCAACGGCGACATGTAGGTAGGAAACATCGACCCTTCTCTCTGGGAGACATGTCTACCTAGACAGAGGGTTGCCAGCGTAACATGAACTTTCAAAAGCCAAATGAAGTAAAAGACACTGTTTCGATTTTTAGAGCAGGAGTTATCAATCGTTTTTCTTTCGTCAGAAAAATCTGAGGGCTCTAAGAGGGCACCAACCAGGAAGGGTAGGAAAAAATCTTGTAATATTGCGTAGCACAATGAGGTGAAAACTACTACAAGCGAGAAGTTCAGACAATCCTGTCCTCCCCGGCCCCGTTCTACTGTGAATCAATCAATCAATCAATCAATCAATCAATCAATCAATCAATCAATCAATCAATCAATCANCAAGCGAGAAGTTCAGACAATCCTGTCCTCCCCGGCCCCGTTCTACTGTGAATCAATCAATCAATCAATCAATCAATCAATCAATCAATCAATCAATCAATCAATCAATCACTAACTCAATTTCGTCAGTTGGTCAATCAATTAACTGGTCAATGAATCATTCTTTTTCGCAGAAATCAGTTTTTTCACAGACCTTGTTATTTTGTTAATAGTTGGGGTGCATGGCATGGTTTATCCATTTCGTCTCTGTGTAGAGTTCTTTTACAGGTAATATCGCTCTAGACTTTCCCCTCCCCTCCCGCCTCTCTGACACATCTCAACACCTGAACACTGGAAACGAGCGCCTGCTCGAAATAGTTCCTTCAGCACAAATGGGGGGCGGATATTTCGTTCTGTTCGCCTTTTCCTCCTTCTTCACAACTGCGGTGCAATTTTCGCCGCCAAAATATTCAGCCTGCCACAGTAAAGATTTCGGTTATGATGGAACCGTCTGTGTTTGCTCGGACGAGCTGGAATGCGACTCGTTTAGCAAGGGCAGTACTCCGTTGTCAGAACATGAATACGCCGTGTACACCAGTTCAAAAGCAGGCGATCGCTTTAGCCTAAGAACTGGGAAGGCAAGGCAGACTTCAGACGGAGGAAAATCACAATTTGTTGAAGCTGAAGTCAAGTTTACTGTGAATCAGAGCGAAGTTTTTCAAACAATTCTTGGCATAGGAGGTGCTTTCACAGGTTTGTACAGAAATGCTATATGACCACCCTAACAAAACATAGGCACGCAAGGCGTGCAAGAGTTATTTTTTTCGTGTGTGAAGTGTTGGAGATAGGAGCATTCATGGAGCTGTTTACAGTAACGATTTGGTTAATTTGACAAGTGTTTTTGGTTGTGATGTACAGCAAGAAACAAACTGGGAATTTATGATGTACATGCGATGTTACATCGGTCATGGTAAG